TGGTTTAGAGCCTTAGAAAAATTTAGCCTTCATGTATAGCATTCATCCCTTTTTTATTTGAGTGCATGCTGTGTACTTTCCTGATGATTATTACATTTCACCCTTGCCACTGATTCAAAAACTTGTGTCAATTATAACTTCAAAATTTATTCAGTGCCAAATTTCTTTATTCACTCCAGATAATCCAGTTCTTCTGTGATTTTTTTGTACAATAGCAGTCCTTGTTTTTGCTGTAACCTAATTTAACTTTGTAACTCAATTGTAAACTTCATTGCCTGTTGTGTGTAGCAAAGTGGGTTTTCCTGATGCAATAATCAATGTTTTTGGGATTTTTGTTCCTGCTGAATTTTTTTTATCTGGTATGTGAAGTTTTCAGGCCTCTGTGAGTTTTGGCACTATGGGATTTTTAAGCTGAAAATGAAATATAATTATTAAATCAAATACATTTATTCCAAAATGAGCATGAGTTTGACACAACACTTTGTTACATTGGAATTTTTACACTGCACAAAATTTCTTATCAATTGTCTCTTCTACTGCAATTTTTCTTTCAATGTTATCATAGGGTTTTTCTCATGAAGCCATTCAAATTCTTAAGAAATATCCCAGCAGCACTGAGAAGGGATGAAGACTGATTCATTTTTCCACTGGTTTTCCACTGTATATTTCTTGATAAATCTAGGAAGCTTTTGTCATCTACTAATCCCCGCTTCCCTTTTACCTTGGTCATGTATAGGATTCACAGTACCTTACAAAAGAGAAATTGAAAACTTCTCAACATGAAAAATTGCTGTAGAAGGATAGCTGAATGAATGCTGGAAATTTGTCATTGAAACCAAAGCAGCTGTGACAGTGATGGAGGGAAATGAGTGCTCTGTCTCCTGAATAACCCATTCAACCCCCTTTTTGATCCCTATCCATGGTTAGAATTGTTACCCAAGAAACAATTCAAATCCATGTAATCTCACCTTGAAAATTTTCCACAAACCTCAAGTGAAAATCAGCCTTACAGAGGATAAAAACATTGATGAATTGTGGCTTATTGCGATGCAATTAGATTCCACTGCTTCCATTTCTGGTCTAAGGGTAAAGAAGAATAATTTGAAAAATATGTTTGAAATGAAATCTGAACACATTTCTTTAAAAGGAACAAACTTCTTCCATGTCTTTTTGTGACTTCTTTGCATTTGAAGTCTATACAAGATTTTTGTACCTACCGGATTTTTGGCCTCACGGGATTTTTGGGCCCCGGAATTTTTTCTCCTGTGGGATTTCATCATGGAGCCCAAAATTCTTACTCTCCTACCAAAAAATCTAGTATTGTCTAAAAGACTTCCTCACTCTGGTTTGAAGTATGGGGTTATTATGATGTCCTATCATTTAGTTTCCATGATACAGTAATTCCTGTGTACCAATGTGCATCAATTCACATGGATTTCGGGTAAGGACACCCTTGCCTTGTTGAAGGAGTGGATGGTAGAATTCACATCCCCAGTATACATAAAATCCTGTTTTGGAGAAGAAGTGAAATGCAGTTGAGACAAGACAAAATCTGAAGCCCTCTTAATGGGGCCTGGGAATGAAAGGCCCTTTTTTGGCAGCGGGGTCAAATCGGGATCACCACTGGAAGCTCAAGTTTGTCAACACAATGCCACTGGGCATACCCGCTTCAAATCAGGCTCTCATGCCTGGGCAGAAACGTTTCTGCCACTCTTGAGAATCTCTTGTTTCTGAATATTTTCCCTTTTTGTTGCTCACAACCCCATTTCACTTTTTCTCATATCTCTTTTTTTTGCACAAGGACCTTCAGTCTGTGTTTTACACCTAGAAAATTCAGTCAAGTGGCATAGTTAAAATAAAAAATAAGGCCCAGAAATATTACCTTTTAAAATTCCCATCATTTTTCTTTTCCCCAATAGAATGCTTGTTTCACTAACTCAAAACCAGGTGTGGTGCCGGAAACACAAAGTTTTTACAAAATAAATCAACAGGGCAATCAGCCTTTACAAGGACGGATCCTCCTTACAGGAGTCCAAAGAACAGTTCAAGTTTTACTATGAATGCTCTAACAACAGTCAGGCAAATAATACAAACACTTCACAGAACAACCACAAATACAACAACAGATCAGGAACAAATCATAACAACAGTTAACGCAACTGGGAACTCCTAGGGAGATGCTTCTTTCACAAGATGAAGTCAGCAAGTGACTGATACTGGTCATTGCTGGCTTCCTCTACAACTTTGGTTTGGACAACTTTCAGAACAAGTTTTTGCAGCAGGTGAAATTTGGCAGAAGGTAGCAGGAGCTTCCATCCTGCCTTTTTGTACCTCTTGGTGCCAGGCACCAGTTTTTAGAATCCTCTGCAAATACGCTACAAGGGGCTACAAAGTAGCCCCTGTGCAACCCAACACCAGGGTAACTTGAATTATTATTTTACTCCAAAGTGTTTTGAGAACCGTCACATAAATTCATTTCAATGACAAGAAATTGCTGATGATATTAAATAATTGTTTAAAAAATTGCAATAAATTGCGCATGCCTTCTGTTCTGGTCAAGTTACTTTGGTAAGATACAGATACGTTCTTTTCTTCTTCCCTCCCTTGAGACTTGATCAATTCTACTCACAATATTTACATCATAAGTTCAAAAAATGCATGACAAATTAACTCCTGAAAAAAACACTCTCACAAATATTATTAACTGAGGTAATTATTCTCCTTCTCTCAATTGTTGAACATTCAGTGGTGCCTTGCCTAGCAAACATGCCAAAAAGACCAGCCTAGCAAACACTGACCCACCCAGCAAACATTTGCTGGCCTTCCCTTAAAATAACATAATGTACACTACTTGGAAGAAGAAAAATTTAGAATGGTGCTGTTTCTAACCATGAAAAAATGGGTTGTTTCTCAAGGATTTTTGTACAGGGAAATCGGTGATATTCTAGGCCTGAAATTGCTTCCTACAACATGAGTTGTCAGGATGCAGAGCTTTGAGGCAAGGGTTCATCAGCCTAATTCATCCCCCACTTCCTTTCAAAAGTTGGCATAACCCAGTGAGCAAGGAAATGTCTGTCTTGGATCCAAAACTTATCCAAAGCAACTTATCCAAGAATCTTGCCAAAAATGGACAAGTAGCTTTGGATAAGTTTTGGATAAACATTGGACAATATGTCCAATTTTGATCCAGAAGTTATCCAACAGTCAACTGCTTTTTGGATCAAAAGTGGACAAGTATTGGAGGGATCTGGGACATATTTTTTTTTTTAAATTGGGCAATATGTCTGATTTTCATTCAAAAGATGTGATTTGATCAGGACCACTTCCCTCCAAAACGTTCATTTTTTATACAAAATTTAGGTGACTATGGGAAACATTTTTCTTACCCACAGGATTTTGGCACATTATTTTTAGGATTTGATTTCTTTCTTTATACCCTTCACAGTTTACTCCAATCATGAACACGTTGTACTGAGCATCTTTCCTATAAATCTTATTTACTTATCCTGATAATATATTCTTACTTATTCTAGGTATACTTTAGTTATATAACATAATTATCCTATTTATTTTCAGGTCTTCTCTACTGCTAATTCCTTACCTGTTGTAGATCCTCTCAGGTTAATTGTTTCCTACTGGGATGCTAGCCCCATTGAAGAATTGCTGATCTAAATGGGATTCAAACCCAGGGGCTTCTGCATAAAAGTCCAACCCCTTAGACAGCTACAGCCCACTACACAGTGCCCAATCTCATTTATGCCCTTTTCTTCCAACAGCTCTGGCAGACAGGTGCTTGCGGACAAGTTTGGAGAACTTTTCCGCCAGTTTCTGGTGCCAATGTGAGGCAGACAAGTTCTCCAAAACTTGTCTGCATATCCAAAATTTGTGGACAAGTTTGGAGAACTTGTCCACCTGTCTCTGGCGCCAAAGTCTGGCAGACAAGTTCTCCAAACCTCGCCCAAAAATTTTGGATGATATGTGGACAAGTTCTCCAAAACATGTTGAGAAATCATCCAAATGAGTTCCAAAAATGCCCCTGGAACTCATTTGGATGTTTATTGGACATTTTTTTGGAGAACTTTGTGCTCACTGGGAAGTTCAATTTTAAAGGGATCCCTTGAAATTGTCACATTTTTATGTCCTTCATCTTTTCCTGTGATCAATAGAATAAAAGGGTACCAGAATGCAATGTAAGGGGTTTGAGGGAAAGTCTTGAGGTTTTTCAATGCATGTTGTTTATAATTGACTTCAGGCAAAGACTTGAACCATTTTGACTCCAGGAGGTTCCGTGGTTGTCCATATGAATAAGCTTTAGTTAGACAGAGGTATCACCAGTGCTTTACCTCATGCAAGAGTGACATCTATGCAAAGTCACAGAAGAGGATTGACCCCTGCTTTGCTCTGAAATGTTGCATATGCATGAAGTAAAATTGCTATCAATGTTGAGGGTTATTTTTAAAAGAGAGCAAATCAACATGATAAGAAAAATCAATTGACTGAACTATTGCAGTGTTTTCAGGGATCTGTGCTTTGTTATTTGATAATTCAAGATAATATTTACATTTTTCTGCACAATTTGGTTTCTTGGGAACCAATAATGGGTTTCACATTATTCCTTAAGGGAAAATGTGACCCACCTTATGATCGTTTCACCCAACAACCACCTTGCAGGAACTTATTGTGGTAGTTATAGGCAACGCATCTGATGGTTACTGTTTTGTATTTTTTTTGAATCATCATTCCCTCTTTCAATGTTCTGCATTTTTTGATCAATTGCGGAAAAATTAGGAGAAACTGTTCTGCTGTATTTGATCTCCGGTTCATTGAGGAGATAGTTCACAGTTAGAACTGTTAAAAGTCGGTGTAAACCGTGAAGATTCCGATCCCGATGCACAAGGTAGCCCCTGCATAGAGCAAAAATTGAGCAAACTTCTTTGTGTTGAAGACTTGAAAAAACCCGCTTACAAATACAGCGGAATTGTATTTAGGGAAAAAAGTACCGAGCATTGTCGCATGGTCCAATCCCAAGTCCTCGTGAAAGACCACTGAAATGTATATTTCTTTCAAGATGATGCAGGAGGCAATTGTGTACAGGAACTGCGGGCGAAAATACTTCATCAGGAAATTCAGTCCCTATGGAAGAAACTATAAACTCAAACAGTTTTTCCACACGAAACACTCGCTACTAATATAATCTTGGTATCTGAGGCATAAATTATAAAATCCTGGATTTCACGTGGAAATTTTTACACTGTACTCCTTTAATCAACAATTACGGGTTGATTTTGGCAAATGTGATTGCGAAGCCGCGCATTACATGGAGCAACCCTTGAAAGAAACAAAATGAAAACTTTTCCTCAAGGCATATTTTACAATATATTGTAACACTCAGTGTTACCCAACCGGTGGTCTGCGGACCGGCGCCATCAATCCACAGAAATTTTTTGCCAGTCTGTCGGAAATGCAGCTCAATCAATTTTTCAAAAATACAATAACAGAGGACATTATGGTATTTTCATCTTAAATTTTAGCAAGACATTCAAAGTTAAGATCATGATGAGAAAACTATGTCTTTTGGCATTTATCCTATACTGTAATATACTACAGTGAGACCCCCAGATGCGGACATAATTGGTGCATCAAGAGTGTCCCTAAGTTGGATTGTCCCCAAGTTGAATCTTGTTTTCCCATAGAATTACATTATATAACTTTTAATTGGTTTTTTATGGAAGAAATATTCTTCAGAATTTCATGAAAAAACATTTTTGCCACTTGAATTTTATGCAATGAATATCTTTTCAAACCAATAAGAACATTTGGAACATTGAATAGAATACCTCTGTACAGTATATTGAAAAGTTGGCATCAGGAAAAATATCATCCATGTCACAAAGAGAGCTTGAAGGAAGTCCCTCTGTGCTATAGGGCATTTTTTTAATTAGCTGAATGGATGGGAAAATGATGGGAAAAGTACCGAAGAATTTTTCTTGCATAGATCTTAGGTTGGAAACATCCGTTTCTTGCAATTAAGCCTTATAAAAATCATTTTCCCAAAATGTATTTTGGAATTTTATGCTGCGATGTCCCCAGGTTTAGTCAGTGTCCCCATGTTGGGCCTTCTTATGATTTTTTTTAAATAAATGTCCCCATGTCAAATTGTCCCCATGTTGAGGTGTCTGCATGTGGGGGTCTCACTGTACTTCAGAATAATATTTGGCTGATTTAAAAAAATTATTTTACTTTTTGAGTCTGAACAACTTTTCAAATCGCACATTTAAATGTTTTCAAGACATGCCAGTACAACTACTTCGTTTGTTATTTCCTCAAGAATGCACAAGAAAACAGAATTTTTTTATATACAATAAGACCAAATATATACAAATCAACATGGGGACACTTATTTCATCATAAAAGTTAATAAAAAAGGACTGACGTGAGGACACTGACTGACATAGGTACATTTTATTATAAAATGCAAATACTTTTCAGGCCAAATTACAAGAAACAGATATTTCCACCCCTGAAATTGATGTAAGAAAAGTTATTGGGCATATCTCTCACCAATTTACCATCCATTTAGCTAAATTTAAAAAAATTACCTCCAGCAGAAATCAAGGGACTTCCTTCTCTCATGTACACTTGAATATTATTCTTACAGGGAATGCCAACATTTCTATGTACTGTACTGTGAGGTATTGATATTCAATTCCCCAAATACCCATATTGTGCTGAAATATATTGATTGGAATCAGTTTAAATTGGGAGACCATTTTTATTTTCATGGAATCATGGTGAGTATTTTGTACATGAAACACCTATTAAAAATTATATAACATATCTAAGGGAAAATGAGACACAACTTATGGTCACTCTTCATGCACCAATTATGTCCACATCTTGGCATCTCACTGTACCTGCAATTCAAGCTGTCTTTCAAGCAAAACTATTTTGAGCATGCAAGAATTTTATGTAAACATGATTGTTTTAAGACAATTTCATGCAACTTTGTCAGTGTGCAGAAAATTGTTCAGACCTTCACCAGTCCAAAAAATTTGTAAAATGAAGAATGGCCAACAGTCCACAGGATTAAAAAGGGTTTGGGAACACTGATGTGCAGTACAGTACTATAGCCTCCAAATTAGTCGTTTGCCACATCTCCCGGTGCCCATCGTTCCAGAAAAAGTCGTGCAATTCGCTGTGATCAATCAGTGCCCGGGCTACGACGAAAACCAGGAGAACCACTGCGTATGCACGAACGAGTCCTCGGTCACGAAACCAAAATGACCACGTTTTCAAACGACCCAACAAAGGGACGTCAGTTGGCTTCGAATCCGATTCGTGTTCCGGTTGTTTTCCAGCTGATGCTGCGAGGGGAGTTGAGACATGTTCCCCGTATGCTGCTGCGGATGCTTTAGCATTCCGCACAGCACTGAACGACGTTGCTCGATGCCGCTTGATGTGTTCCCCAGGGAACAGGGATGAAATCGATGGGACTTGTGGACTGCGTTGCTGCACTGCGATTTGCGGTTGCATCAAGTGATTCTGCTGCCTTGCTGCTGCTGGGGACGAGATGTGTGAAGGTTGGGATCCGGTGGGATATTATAGGTATAGGAGGGATGGTTCATATAAAAGATGGTAAAACAGCGGAATGCGGTCATGGGAGGTGGATGTAATTCTTTTTTTTTGCTCATCCTGAACCCTTCATTGGTGTCTAGTAAATGTGTCATCCACGATATATTCAGCTGCAGATGGAGACAATAAGAAAGATACCTCTCTCAGTCAAGGCTCTCCACTGAGGTTAAGTTTAATATGGATGAATTGAGACCTAGAGCATGCTAGTGAGCATGCAGCTCCTCTTGATCCATTAAACTTCTCTTCAGTGCAATTCATGTTGGAAGAAAGTTTGACAATAAAGGCAACAAGTCAGCCTTGGAGAAGTAAATCTTCCCTTAATCCCAGGAAATTTCTGCACCTGCTGGAGCCTGTGAACCAAACCTGCATATGAGTTTGCTTTCAGATCCCAGCAAGGACAATACTCCTGAATGGAATTATCTCTTTTCCAATCTCTTGTCCTTGGAATTATAATTTCCCGAATTCCAACCCCTTCATTCCAGCAAAAAACCTCTCAGCAAGCTTTGGAATTTTGGGGCATAACTATTCCCCATAAAAGCTGAAAGACAGACTGATGTTATGAAGAATTATAAAAGGGTTTATATGAATTATTGTGACTGGCCCTAATGGAGTGCTCTACTCTGGAGAAAGAAAATTTTCAGAGGCCAGGGATTGGCCAGAACAACTGGAGTCAAAGACTATGCTGGGCTCAGAAAGCCTAGGGGGAAAGTTCTCAAATTTCCCCAATTTCTCTAGTGCTTTTGATTCTACTGGTTTTTATTGTTGGGTAATTTTTCCACCCAATTACCATCTATCCCTTCCTGGATTGATGATCCACGCATTAGACTGGCGGTCGCTGCTCCGGAACAATTGTGATTCCAAACTTTATTTTAGAGTAACCAACCCATTTTGTGGATTATCTTTAATGAAACCCTGTGTGGCATAGAATGTACTCNAGAGTAACCAACCCATTTTGTGGATTATCTTTAATGAAACCCTGTGTGGCATAGAATGTACTCACATGCAGGTGTTTCAAACTTCACATCTGTGCTGTATATTCTCTATCACGTACAGCAGCATGTGAGACATGACCTTTGCGATGATCAGGCCGGATGCCAGAAATCTGCATATGTTATCAGGGAGCTCATCTGTCACTTCCCCATTGTTCAGGTAATTTTTTTGAAAGATTTACTATAATTCTTGTACAGTATTAGGCATGAAAATGGAATGCCCATGTATCTGAGCAATACTGTACAGTGTTATGAATATTATTGGAAAAATTGCCCCAGGTCAGCTAAGGTGAGGCAAGTCAGGGTTTACCCATGAAAAGGCAATTGCTGCAGTTTTCAGAAGTTGTACTTTTCCTTGCTTTCAAAATTCTGACCTCATCCTCAGCTCAAAGCTTCAAGATCTTTTTAGTTTTAGATGTTTTTGAAAGTGTTGGGAGCTTTTCATGAGATTTTCATTCTAGACAAAGGGGAAGTTCCAGCAATTTGTTCCACTTCAGGTTATTCACCCGAGCTAACTTTCCCCATGCTTTATAAACCTTCTTCAGAGTGTTTCTCAAGGTTCTTGTTTCAAACATTCCTTTTCAATGAAAGTTGGGATTTGTGGCACATAGAAGGTGGAGAAGATTAAAAGGTAGGGTTATGGATGAGCTGTGGAATTTTCAGTCTACATCATCAATTTCTACCTGGCTTGATTCACCTCAATTTATCTATTTTGGTGAGGATCTTCAGGTCTGAGAAGCACTACAGCAGGGTAAGAAGAAAACCAGCTTGAGGGAACTTTTTTTTTTCAGGCAGAATTTTTCTGGACAAACCGGAAAAAGCCAGGATTTTTCCTGACTCCCCCCTCCATACACTTTCTTCATTTTTTTCATCCACCTGGGGTGCCAGCAAATTACATAAAAAAGTCCAACTTAGCCAGGGAAGAGTTAACAAAAATCCCCAGTGTAGCTGGCAGCTGAGTGATAACAATCATTGTACTTGCAGTACTGGTAGGAAGATTGTGACCACAGTAAAACTGGCAAGGGCCGACAGGTGTAGCTGCCAGTAGCATACGCCTTGGAACATTTTGCGCAGCCAATCAGGGTTAAGGCTGCCCCCATGAAGCTGCGCGCTTCAAGGCCGCCATGTCCCTGGAGGTTAGTGTAGGTTTTGGTTCTGCTGGGGATGGTAACCTGGAGTTGGGTTAACCCCAGTGTGGTGATGTGAGTTCAGGTTTAGAGGAGAGGGCTACGGTGGTGTAGTTTCTCGCCGGAGCAGATGGCCAAACTCCAGGCCACTGCACCCCCCCCCCACATCCCCTCACTCCCTATTCTCATCGGGTGTAGGACAATTCCCCCAATTCTAAATCCCCCACCTCTATTTCCCCGGAATAATAATCCCCGATTTTAAAATCCCCGGTCACAAAAATCCCCAAAATTAAAATGCCTGATTTTTAAAATCCCCAAGTGTTACTTTCCCCGATTTTAATTTCCCTGCTTTTTGTTGAAATCCCCCATAATAAAAATCCCCCATGTACAATTTCCCCCC